GTGGAAGCTAGCTGGAGCTCACCCTAGGGTTTCCCTATAAAAGGGAAACCCTGTTCACGAGAAATATGAGCTTCATCTCGTGAATTTTTCAGAGGAGAAAAATCTTGTGGCGGCGGCTTGTCTCCAGTAACAATTTTTCAAGACTTGCGACTATTTATTGAGAAGCCTTAAAGGCGATTCTCAGTGAGATTGAACGATGATTTATTAAGTTGAATAAATCACACGTGGTACTGTAGCAATTCTACAATGATCCATATTTTGATTGAGAGATCTCAAGTTTGAGATCTTCTCTTTGCAAGTTTTGTAATTTCTTGTAGTTAAATAAGAAATTATTTATGCGGCTCCCGTGGACGTAGGCAAATTTGCTGAACCACATAAATCTGTTGTCTCATCTGATTTACTTATTGTTTTATTTGTGTATTCATTATTTCTTGTTGATTGTCTTCTCTCGGTGGTGTGGGCATCTTCCGACCCCAACAATAGCTATTTACATAGATTACATTGGTGCCAGGTACAAAATTGCTGCATTTATAACAGCTAAATTAGTTCAATAAACAAACCATGGTAAACATATATAAAAAAGAATCTATACAAACAAAATTGCTCCTTCCATACCCGAAGCAGAACCAATATAGCCCATCTCCTTCTACGAATGGTACAGTTCAGTAAAACAATGGGAGTTCCTCCAGAGCAACAAAAATCACTGGACAGAGGATAATCCTGCATAAGCTCCACACCCAAATCACCAAATTCGGAAAAATTAATGTAATTGGCTCCTCCATCACAATTTCCCACCTGCAGATTCACAGTGAAGCTGTCCAGTTTAGAGTCTAGAAAAGCTCCAAAACTGCACTCTGGCATACTGTCTTCCATCAAACTTTCATTCGAAACAACATAATTGTTACTGCCATTCTCAACAAATTCAATCCTCTTGTGGACTAAATCGATATCTGGTATCCTACTATCCTTAACAACCTTAGATTGGCCAAGCATCATCACTTCACAAGGAGAATCACACCTGATACTCTCTTGCATCAAGTCTTGCCAGTACGTACTGTTCCCTAGTTCAGAGCTTCCCTCAGTCATAATATCCCCTTTCTCAAGCAGATGAATCCTCTCATCAACAGATTTCATCTTAGCTTCCAACCTCTGGAGCTTTACGAAGGGGCCATTCTTGAGATCAGATTGCAGCTCGTAGGTTTGAGCTTTACTGAAGCTTGGAGGGTTGAATGTGCTCTCGTCTCGGGATTTCTTGCTAGAGCTCAGGTACCTCTCCATGATATTTCTCGTTTCTAGAGCATTTTCGGGCCATGAGTCGACCTCTCCGGTGCTTGGATCAAAGAATAATGCAAGGACCGGAATGTCGCAGAGGGTGGATAACTCATAGGCCTTCTTCTTTAATCCCACCTTTCTTTTTCGGTACGTAATCCGTCATTGTGTCTGGTCTTTTGATCAAGCTGCGTCGAACCTTCGATTTATAGCGACCCATTTCAACCTGACCAATAAAATGATTCTAAAATTAGTATATATTGTAGTTCCAATATAAGGAATGGGCAATGTATCGTATACAACTAACAACAAATTGAAGACTGGATAATATAGATATTAAGCTAGAGAGCTAATATATGAAGGTCAGGGAACAGATTGACATAAAAAAAATTCTTTTTTCCTTTTTCCTGAGAAGAAAACAAGTTAGAATAATATATCGGTCTTTTAATTCAGCTACTACAATAGCCTTCAAGGTTTAGACATTTGTGAATTATTCGATATCTTGTTCATGTTACAAAACGGAAAACCCCCAATTTTAAGTTCTAGCAACTCAAAACAGAAAACCCTAATTGGAAAGCAAAGAAGTCAATTTTCAGCCTTCTAACTTCAAAAACTTTGTGAATTGCACAATCTTTTATTCACATTACAAATAAGGTGGGGGAAAAAGCACCCAAAAGTCTATGTGATCAGAAAACCAACAGAAATCCTAATTTTAGGGTTTAAAGTTGAAATCTTTAGATTCTTATAATGATAAGTGGTTTAAAGGAAGAAAAGATAGTGGAACTGGGTCTTCTTCTTTGAGAGATTCTGATTCAAACTCTTGGAATGTTAGACAGGATTTGAGAAACAATCCATGGGGTACACCAGCAGCCAGATTGTGGAATGAGGCAAGGACCTTCTATCAAAGGAATAAGTCAGAAGGAAATATATTTGTAAAGGATCTGGGATATTCTGAAAAAATAGATGTTTCTGATGTGCTGGCTGAGTTAAAACAAACAGCTGAGAAGGAGGAAGAAGGATATGCAGAGCCTAATAATAAGCTGAAGGATCAATCAACTTTAGATTCTGGTATGTTTAATGTTCAAAAGGAGAAAGACAAAAATGAGGAGTTTCATATTTCTGAAGAGAGGATTGATGTGTTTCAGAGTAAAGAGAATGACAGTGATAGGGAATGAGGAGTTTCATATTTCTGAAGAGAGGATTGATGTGTTTCAGAGTAAAGAGAATGACAGTGATAGGGAAGTTGTTGTGGAGAAAAGTCTAGAGAATGACAGTGATAGGGAAGTTGTTGTGGAGAAAAGTCTTTTATCTTCTGTTGTTTTGGAAGAAGATTCTGCCACAAAAGAGGATGATAAAGGTAAAGCTCTTATGATCAGTGAAGCTGAAGATAATGATAAATGGCTGATGGACTCATTACAGCAGTTCTACAATAAAAAGAATGATTCAGAGAAAGAGGATGAGATATTATCAGTCCAACCTCTTAATTGTTTACCTCCTCCAGATCACGAGCTTGTTGCAAATTCTAAATTGGCATATGTTCGTAGATGTTCTAGATTTGTGGACCTTGAGCCTATGACTGCTTTAGACAGAGCCACTGCAAGGGCAGCTACAAAAAATAAACTATTGCAATCTCAAGGTATGTCACTGAATGGATCAGGTGAAAATCTCTCTAACCTGGGTTCTTCTTTTGTTCCTATTTTATTTGATGCTTTTTCCAATAAGCAAATGCAAAGTGTAGCTTCAAAATGTGCTGTTATCGTTGAGCCTCAGGGGGATTTTGACCTCTTAAAAAAAGTGAGGCAGATGGAGAAAGAGAGGGATACTTCTGAGTAGTCTTTGCTCTTTTTTGTTGATATTGAGGAGTTTTTTGCTAATAATATGTTAATTAAATGGAATGTGAGAGGTCTTGGTTTAAGTGTTAAAAGATTTGGCATTAAAGATTTTTGTATGCTAAACAAATTTGAGATTATTTGTTTACAAGAGACAAAACTGAGCAGTGTTGATGACAGGATTTTAAAAAGTTTTGGAGGAAATATATTTGATTGGGTTTTTTTGCCCGCTAATGGAACCTCAGGAGGTATTATGATTGGTTGGAACAATTGTAAATGGAAAAAAAAATTCAAGAGTTAATTGGAGAATATGTTTTGACTGTTATGTTACAAAATAAGAGAAATGGTATTGTTTGGACTATTTCATCTGTTTATGGTCCCCATTGCAATAGTGAGAGAAGGTTATTTTGGCAGGAACTTAAAGCTGTTAAAAACAGATTTCTAGGTCCTTGGGTTGTTGTGGGTGATTTTAATGTGACTTTTAATGCTGATGAAAGAAGAGGTAAACATAATCATAGAAAGGAGATGGAAGAATTCCGTGAAGTGATTAATGATCTTGAGTTAATTGACAGTCCTTTACATGGGAGAAAATTTACTTGGTCAAATAAAAGAAGTTCTCCTACTCTAGCTAGGCTGGATAGAGTGTTTTTTAACTCTGAATGGGAAGACTTGTTTCCTTTTTCAAAGCAACAAGGGCTTAGTAGTCAACTATCAGATCATGCCCCCATTAGCTTTGATTGTGGTGATAATCAACAGTTTGTCAAAAAGTTCAGATTTGAGAAAATTTGGCTTCAATCTGAAGATTTTAAAAGAGGAATACCTCTGTGGTGGAATTGTGCTCCTAAGAGTGTATCTGCAGCCAAAAATATTGTTGGGAAATTGAGATTTATGAGATAGTGCATTAATCAATGGACACATTCTAATTTTTATAGTATCAGACAGAAGAAAAAAGAATTATTGGATAATTTGCTGGAATGGGAAGTTATTGAGGAAAACAGAGGTTTAGAAGATGATGAATTGATCAAGAAAAATGATGTTTCCTCTCAGCTGAATGAAATTTTATTTCAGGAAGAACAAATGTGGAAACAAAGATCTAAAGCACATTGGCTAAAAGAAGGTGATAACAACACTGCATATTTCCATAAGATTGCTAATGGTAGAAAAAGAAACAACTTGATTGCCTCTATCTTCATTAATGAGATGGAGGTTAGTTCTGATGATGGTATAGCTCATGCTTTTTCTAATCATTACAGACAAATTTTTGGGCAAAAGGAGACTTATAGATGTCAACTTGATTGGAATAAAATCTTTCCTTTAGTGGATTGGGACTCTAGAGATATTGAAAATCCTTTTTCTGAGGATGAGGTGCATAAAGCTATATTTGATATGAAAGATGATAAATCTCCTGGTCCTGATGGTTTTTCGGCTATCTTCTTTTAGGAATTTTGGGAGACTGTGAAAGTTGATATTATGAGATTGTTTGAAGAACTTTATGAAGGAAAATTGGAAATAAATAGACTCAACTATGCTCATATTGTTCTTATTCCAAAAAAGAATGAAGCTACAACAGTTAATGATTACAGACCTATCAGTTTACTTAATGTGGTCTACAAAATAATTACAAAAGTGTTGACTAACAGATTGAATCCCAAGCTGGAACTTCTTATTGATCATGTTCAGTAAGGTTTTATAAAAAACAGATTTCTGATTGATGGGGTAGCTGCTGGTCAGGAAATTATTAATGATTGTTTTCAAAATAATAGAAAAGGAGGAATACTTTTAAAGTTAGATTTTGTGAAAGCTTATGATATGCTAGATTGGAACTTTCTTTTGGATGTTTTGAAGGCAAAACAATTTGGAAGTAAATGGTTAAATTAGGTGAATGTATGCCTAAAAGGAGGTATGTCTGCCATTAACACAAATGGAAAAATTGGTAGTTGGATTATGTCTAAAAGAGGAGTTCGACAAGGTGATCCTCTATCTCCTCTTTTGTTTGTTTTGGCAGCTGATGCTTTTACCAGTATGTTGAATTTAGCAGCTGAAGCATCTCTTATAGAACGATTGGGTCCTATTAATATGTCCCAGAAGGTTTGCTGCCTTCAATATGCTGATGATACTTTAGTTTTTTGTAAAAACAAAAGAAAGCAGCTTACAGTCCTGAAACTGATCTTATACTGTTTTGAATTAGCATCTGGATTAAAAATAAACTTCAACAAGAGTTTGCTCATTGCTCTTGAAGATAATGAGATCTTGCAGCATAATCTGGCTGGCATGTTAAATTGTAAAAGTGGAAGTTTTCCTATCACTTATCTTGGAGTTCCTTTGAGGCCTGGTAAATTAAAAAAAGAGGATTGGTCTCCTATTATTGATAAGTTTGAAAGAAGATTAACCTTATGGAAAGGAAAGTCTTTATCAAGGGGAGAAAGATTAGTGCTTGTTAATGCAGTTTTGTCCTCTATGCCAATTTTTTGGATGTCTTTTTTCTTATTCCCAGGGTGGCTTATTGATAAAATTGATATGATGAGGAGAAGATTTTTATGGACTGGCTCTTTGGAACACAAGAATTCTTCTAACTTGGTTAAATGTGAAGAGATTTGCAGACCCAAAAAGCTAGGTGGCTTAGGTATTATAAATTTGAGAACTATGAATAAAGCTTTGTTGGGAAAATGGATTTGGAAATGGTTTGATGATAAGATGGATCTATGGAAACAAATAAGTTTCTACAAGTATTTTGAGAATAAAAACTGGTCAGATTATTTTTGTTCTGACAAAAGATCCCTATCTCATTTCTGGAGGAATATATTTATTAATGTTGATAGCTTTTTATGCAGTACTTGTGTAGATGTGGGGAATGGAAATAAAACTCTTTATTGGCTTGATAAATGGACATGTGCAAATACTCTGGCTTCTATGCTTCCTTCTCTTTATAACATTGCATCATTCTCTTATGCTACTATTACCAGTTTGAGGAAAAAATTAAATAATGAATAGATTTGGGATATTAAATTTCAAAAACAGTTGACAAGAAATCTGGTATTTCAATATTATGATATGTTGAACAATATTATGCTTATTAATTTTGTTCACAGGGAGGATAAGAGAAAGTGGATTTGGGAAGCAAAAGACAAGTTTACTGTTAAATCATATTATCATTTTCTTATTGATGGAGGCTTAATGTATGACTGCTTAAATCTTTGGAAGCTTTCTGTTCCTCTAAAAGTGAAATTTCTGGTTTGGTTGGCTTTAAGAAGTGGTTTAAACACGAAAAAGAATTTAGTAAAGAAAGGTGTTCATATGGATGTGTTGTGTTGTTTTTGTTCCAAGGAGGAGGAAAATCATCTTCATCTTTTTGTTAAATGTGAGTTTGTATACTCAATTTGGAGATCTGTCCAGTTTAAATTGAATATCAAGAAAGATTTCAATTTATCTTCTTTAAAAGATATTTGGAAGAAATGGAGTGATGAGAAGTATGATTGTGGGAACATAGAGAGAGATGTGATTCTTTGTTCTCTTATATGGTGTATTTGGCAGGAAAGAAATGATAGAATTTTTTCAAATAAGAAAAGGAGATCATTAGAACTTTTGAACAAAATTTTGACTTTTGCAAAATTTTGGATAGGTTCTCAAATATCTGATCGTGCAGCTAGACTACAAGAGAGGAGGAGGAAAAAAGCTGCTTCAGTTGCTGGAATCTCTTCTGTTTGCACAGCTGGGAGGGTGATTGATTTGCTGGAATGAAGACTAAGCTCAAGAAAGAAGTCTGCTTTTGTGATCTAAATAGGAAAAAATGTATTTGGGTTGGTCTTTTGATACAGTTTTTGATATTTTGTTATCAATTGCTAGGGGGAGAAGAGTTTAGGTGAAGTTTACTGTAAAACTCTGATATTCCAGGGTATTCATTCTTGGTTGGGGATGAATACTTTTTTTGTAACAACCACTTTTATTTAATTTAGCTGGTTGGATTACTATGTTGGTAATACATCCTTTTTCTCAAAAAAAAAGTTGAAATCTTTATTAACTATTCGATCTTTTACTGAATTAGGGCAAACGAAAAACGCCCAACTTATAATTGTGTCAGTCCAAAAGAGAACAACAAATGGAAATCCTAGTTCGAAAGAAAAGAAGTCATTTTGTTATTCAAGAAAGGAAAAAAGCAAGTACATTATGTAAAGGAGTAATATTTCGGAAAGAAAAAGGAAAAAAGAGAGCTAATTATCGATCAAACTCAATTCAGCAGCAAAATCGTTGAAGAAACGAGAAAGAAAAATGACTACCTTAAGCTCAAGAGAAAGGAATACCCAATGGAACTCGGAGAGAATTGAAAACTTGATCCCCAAGAAATTTCTCTTTTATGTATAAGAATTGAGAGAGAGAGAGAGAGAGAGAGAGAGAGAGAGAGAGAGAGAGGGAGGGACTTGGCGCTAAATAAGCCTGGGATCAATGAGTTGAGCGGGAGATCTAGGAACACTTTAATTGCTTTTAGTTCTTAAGGGTAACATATCGTTGTCAATGATTACAAATCTCTTAGGGGCTGTTTGGTTGTATGTTTTTACCGTGTAAAAGGATAGAAAGTGTAAAAAAGTGGGTCCTAATGTCAGCTTTCATCACTTTCAATTGTTTGTTTGTAGTTGTGAAAATAGTGTAAAGTGATTTCATATGCTGATGTGGTTTGTAAAGTGATTTCATAAAAAAAAAGACATGATTTTAGGAGAAAGCTGACAATGAAGTCAGAAAAAAATAATAAAAAATAATTCCAACCAATATGATCATTTGAGTAGGGACCACTTTTTACACTTTCCAAACAAACAATTAATGTTACATTTGCAAACCAAACAAGCAATTTGTGATTCCAATGGAATCAAAAACAAACAAAGAAAAAATATACAAGTAAAATTGATGAGGTGGACAACAACTTTCCAAGTTGTGTCATAAATACACAATTTTACCAACAACAACCAAACAGCCCCTTACAAATCGAACTATTATTACAAAGTTTTAGGCAAGTTGTTGTGAGATATATATCAAGGAAAATTTAAACCACGTAATTATAGATGACACGTCACTTTTTTCCCTCTTATTCTAAAATGAAAAATTAAGTTACAAAATAATTATAATTAATTGTACTAAATAATAGTATCAATAAATATTGTCGACAAACATGTATTAGAGCACAAAGCAATTCGCATGAAAATTGTCAAATAAATGGTCGTCTATTTGTTAGTTGGATCATTGTGATTTGTTTTGGTAAAGGGGGAACGGTTGTACGGATTATACAGTACATTTACAATTGCGTCTAAATAACCAACTATTACAACTACCGTATTTTGATATTGAAGAGGATCCAAATCTTTATTGCACGCATGTGATCACACTGAACTAATTTATCTAAAAAATGGGGCTATCATCCAAAGGAAAATATTTGCCTTTCTAGGATCCATCCTTAGTCTATGCTATTTATGCTATACATTTAAGAAAAGCTACCCTTTGGGTTAAGTTTTCCTAAATTTTAGAAATACTCTCACACTTTACAAAATCAAAATAAGCACTCCTACGACTGGAAAAGGTCATGATAATTCTCAAGAATTGAGAGAATCAATGCAAATGCTCACACATTACAAAAATCAAACTGAATGCTCTCACATTTGTATCGAAAAATTCTTTAAGGACCCAAAATATGGGACCAATAAATGGGACAAGTGAGATGTTCCCTTCTTATTGGATAATGAGTTGGCTATCATTAATGATGGCCAACTCATTATCCAATAGGAGGGGGACACCTCACTTGTCCCCTTTATTGGTCCCATATTTTGGGTCCCTGTAGCAAAGCTCTTTTGTATCATGCACGCACTATATGCACCAGAGTACCAGTACGTAATTAACTGGACTATACAAGTCGAACTATACAACATGTTTTCATATTTGTCATAGAGAACTACACAACGTGTTGATAATCACATTTTATTACAGTTTTATACCCTCATTATCTATTTTATATGAATAAATATACCACTAATAATTATTTTTATCTTTTAATTACAGGTTAATGAAGAATAAATCTCAAACTCCAATCTCTCAACAAAATACCCTTGATTTAATGAAGAAATGAAGCTCATGAAGCCAAAGGAATTCTTTCAAATATTTAATGAAGAAATAAATCATAGCCCAGTGGAAAATCAAGAGAAAATGCCAAAGTCCAAATGTTGAAGCCCAAAAGTAAAAGCAAAGCCCATTGTCCAAGCCCAAAATCCAATAGAAGAAGAATTCTGCGGGCAGCAAAAGTAGAGGGCTTGACATCGATGGCGGCATCGATGGCGGCATCGATGTCGGCATCGATGCCCGTATCGATGCCATCATTGATACTGCTATCGATGGTGGTATCGATACTGACGGCATTCTGTTACATATCTAAGGCTGAAAATTGTTGGTTTTGGATAAGATTTGAATCAAATGGCTCTCATTCACTGATGTTTACTATAAATAGGGGTAGAGAGTGAGGGGTTAGAGGTGTGAAAAATTTTGTAACTCCATTTGGAGAGGAGGGCTACTCTTAATTGAGAAGGCCTTCCAAAAATTGTAACTTTAGTTGCAATTAATAATAATAATTTTTCTCCTCTTTAAATTTTTTTTCTCCTCTTTGTTAAATGATGAGGATGGAGATGAAGAGTAATTTGAAGGTTTGCATTTTTTTATTTTTCTCTTTTATTTCATTTTAGTAATTTCTTTATTATTGCTTATTAGTTAGATTTAAATTCTTGCTTGTAGTGTAGATTTATTTTCTTGTCTTTTTATTTTTTTACACTTTAATTTGTAGAGTAGATTTATTTTCTTGTATTTAATTTTTATAATATATTTTGTAGTTTAGATTTTAATTCTTTGTAGTTAGATTTATTTCTTGTTCATAGTTTAGATTTTTCTTTTCTTTTTATTTTTGTAATTAGTTCTTTTTCTTCTTGTTTTTATTTTTTAAGATGTGAAATTAATTCTTGTAGGAATCTTAGAATTGTATGATGCTAGTCTAATTTCCTTTATAATATGCAAATTATTCTCTTTCACTTAAAATGTTCATGTTTAGGATAATCAACTAGAAAACTAATTGGTAGAAGAAGAATTTGATAATCTATGCTTATCTTAAATGGTGTGATAGGTTATGCTTATGAATTCTAGGACTATTTTCTTGTTGTTGTTCTTATCATGAATAGTAATTTTGATTTAGATGATAATTTGATAGGTTATACTTTTCTTAAATGGTTTGATAGTTTATGCTTAATAAATCTAAGTTGAAATATGATAAAAAGAGAATAGTTTATATTTTGTAATTGAAATTTGCTAGTGGATTAAATTCTAGATTTCTCATATCTTAAATTGAATCATCCATCTTAACTTTCTTGAATTCTCTTTTATTTCTTAATTTTATTCATTCTTCTTTCTTGCCTTGTGATCTCATTTATTCGTTAATTCTTTCTGCTCTCCTCTAAAATTCAATTTATTGTCTCTTGAATATATTCACAACAATCACTCATCACAATCACACTTATTCTTTAATCCTATTTTTGTCACGCACACAATATAAGAACCAAGTCTAATAATCTTTTAAAATCACCTTCCTCGTGGGATCGATATTTTTTATACTATAACTTGATCAATTGTGCACTTGCAATTTTGGTACATAATTATGTCGCATCAAGTTTTTGGCGCCGTTGCCGGGGAAGGTGCTAAAATAGGATTTTATTATTTTTGTTCTTTAACTTGTGTGTTTTCTTGTGAAGGAACCGCTTAGAGCTTGAAAGTCTTGGATTGAAAATCAAGAACTTAGAGAATTGCTTTCGGGTAAGTCCTCTTTCTAGTTTTCAATTCCACCCTTTTTAGTTAGCTTCACAATTAGAGACAATTAGGATTTAAAAAAAAACAAAAAGATTTTATTTTTGTTTACCATAATAAAATCTACCTTTCACTTGGACATTAACTAACAACATAATAAAACAAGAGCTCTCTTCTCACATTTGATTGTTGTTGACCATAATTAAAAAAAAGATTTTCTTTTTATCATCCTTTTTAGTCGCTTTTAATTTCTAGGGTTGCATTTCATATAGTGTAGGAATTCACCAAAGTGATTGTAGCACTTGATTTGGCACATACTTAAAACATTCTTAAGGGCAAAACCCCAATCAAGATAAGGTAAGGGATTTCATCACCCTTTCCTTAGCCCACAAATCACTAATTCCTCACTTCACAAACCCAAGCCTTCTAAAACTCATTAGACGTTGGCCCCAAAGGATTCGAGCTCAATAAGGAACAAGAAATCCTTAAGTGAATCGGTTTAAGTTTTCTGAGATTAGTTGGTGTCTAAGGTAAGGTTTAGGGGTTGCGCAAAGCACTCCGTAAGGAACGAGGTACTTAATTGATCTCTGATCACCCTCTAGTACTATCCTTACCTAGCTAACTACCTGGGTAAAACTTTAATCTTTTCACTGTAGGAGTTTTTGGTTAGGAGCTGGTCTAGCGAGTTAGGCTAAATCCTAGAATTAGAGTGATTGAAAAGTGATTGTTTTGATTTGTTTTAGTTAGGATTTTTCTTTATCTTTTTATAAAAAAAACTAATTTTCTTTCTTTCCTTAAAAAGAAAAAAAAATTGTTTTGGTGTATGCAAACTTGGGTTCGGGATAATTTTCATCGTTTAATCCGTGTTGAACCAATACAAGAAATAACAAATCAACCCGTTCTCCAGGATATGTGTTACC